CAGTGTAAAAATACTGAGTATCCAGAATAAAGAAAGATTTCTAACTAACAAACCAAATATTTGATAATACCTTTCTTAAACATATTTGAAAATGTCTGATGGTTCTCGGCGAACCAGATGACAAAGTAAATACTTAGCTCCGCCTCCTCCTCATCTGTGATCTGATATCAACAAAATAGAAAGAAAAGAGTTTAACAAGTCATCTATTAGGTGTTCCAGATACTCTTTACAATTTATTATTATAATTAATATTGAGACAAAGGAAGTTTCTTCTTGCTCAAAAAAATGAAAAAAATATGTTAATAACTATTGCTATAATTTTAAATGCACCCAGAAATGTTCATATTGCTTTTGATTTTATGCTGCTACAACACCTACAATTGACTTGATATTAAAATACATTATAAATAAACAAATTAAATAAATAATTTCAAATAAAAAAAAATAATAATGAAAAAAACTGAATGTAATAAAAAAATTCAGTGTAATCTCCTATTTTAGTTATTTCCTCACCTCACAAGTACTCTGCTTGTTGTATGATCCTCTTAGAGACTATCAAGGTTTGCAATATTCTTCCTAGAATTCTCAATGTTTATTCATACTACTTGCTTCAAACTTTTTCATATTCTACCCCTGCAATGCATGGACTCTGCTGCCATTGTTCGATATGCTGAGGAGGAATTCAAAACATGACTGGTTGAAAAAGAATCATGTAAGGACAGACAGAAATATTAAAGTACTTTAACTTTTACACAGATTAATATTAAAGTTCTTTAAATATTTCACACATGTTAATATCATTATGATTTACTAAAGTAAAATAGTAATACCCCAGCCCTAAACATATTTTCAAATTTTAATTTTAATCTTCATGATGTGATTCTGTGGGGGCAGGAAGAATCTTAAAAAAAAAAAAGGGGTGGGGCTGTTTTTATCCTTCAAAAAACAAGGTGCCGGCAGCTTACACGTTTTATATATTCAACATCATGTCTCCAGAATAAGGATCTGCTGGCATTGGTGGCGCTATTTTTAAATTGAGGTGTTACTGTATTTCTTTTACATCCAACACCAAGTATCTCACAAATACGGGATGGAATGATGCTTTGTAGACTTCATGAGAAAACCCTGTGATTGAACCCAGGACCTTTGGGATTGGAAGGTATGAATCTTAACCACCAAACAATTCAGAGGCAAATTAGTTGCACTATGAGGGTTTAGTACTAAAATGATCATTAGAAGTTCTATTGTAATTTTCATATTCTCCATTTTTACAGTGTATGAATCATGGATAGCGACACACGTTAAAAGCTTATGAAAATATAACTGTAATTATTCCTGCTGTCGCTCCATGGCTTGAAAATTAAAAGGAGCCAGCAAAAAACTAGAAATATACTCCAAGCTTATGAATAAATATTGTGGTTGATTTTTATATGACAGCTTACCCTGCAATTCTTGTGGGATAATCTGACTCATGAGACGTTTGACGCTCCAACTGAAATTCAACGAATATCTATTGACATTAATTCACAATAATAATCATAATATTTAAGTTAGTAGAATATATCACCTATTTTTTGATAACCTAAAAATTCACAATGAATACTAAATTACAACTGAAGGATACTTATCCCAAGAAAATATGAATTAGCAAGAAAACTATTTGAGAAACTTTTGTAAACCAAATTTTTCTTAATGCATATAAAGAATGCAATGATACTTATAACACTTATTCCATTAAGCAAATAATATATCTATTCAACATTACTTGATGCCAATTAATTTTAACATCTGAATGGCAATTCAATTTTAAGATCTTGTACTTTTCTTTTCGAATGACTAATTGATATGTATAATTTTGTTTTATTTTACAGTGTGTTTTATTTATTTGTATCTCATTTATTATAGGTCTACAGTATATTATTTAGCTAAGGCATCCAATTATTACACTTCTATAAGTTAACATTAAAAATCATCATAGTCATATACTGTACTGCATTTACAGGTCTTTAATTCATCTGTGTTTACCTTTCTTTACAATTTGATTTAATTTCTTTTAATTTTTTTTTTCTGGATGCACCAGCAGGTATCTGATGTGTGCCACTGGTATAAAAGTGAATCCAATAAATATTGTATTGTATTTGTAGTGAATGCATTTAACTTATATAAAAAATAGTTTTTTTCTTTTTTTGAATAATGCTACTTTAGAATTATGAGTCATAATAAACTTGGTAAAATTTTACAAAGTATGTAGAAGTACCGGTAAGTAAATAATCAAATAGTGGGCAAATGGTAAAGCTGTGGTTTCCAATCAAAAGAATATGGGTTTGTGTCTATTGATGATCAGTTGTGTCTTTGAGAAGTACTACAATCACGTTATGTTTCCCTGCTCAATTGACCTTTATGGGTTTGTGTGTATTGATGATCAGTTGTGTCTTTGAGAAGTACTACAATCACGTTATGACCTTTATGGGTTTGTGTGTATTGATGATCAGTTGTGTCTTTGAGAAGTACTACAATCACGTTATGTTTCCCTGCTCAATTGACCTTTCCGGAGTGTCAATCAAACTTAACAACTCATTATAAGAACAACGCTAGGAATACGCACGCGTCTTACAAACATACGTGTTGTCCCACAAATGCACGTGTTCGCGTATGTTTTAACACTGCCGTCTTGTGGGACCTTAGCAACAAGATCCAAGGGGCGGAGCTTAGCGGAAAGGTTCATTTAGCCTTAAATCCGGCTGTTCAATTTTTTCATTTGTGGTTTTCTAAAGTTTAAGACAGATGCAATATCTGCAATAAACACTCTCTTCTTTTGATCTTTATGATGCTGGATTGCTGGAACTGGTTTTGTCCATTATTCTATTGTGATTTTATTTTAACATACATTATACCAAATTTATTTAAATATTTTTTTATTGTTTAATTTCTTATTCAATTTTGGATTACAGTTTGCAATCACAATTCAAGACCACCTTTGGGACCTGAAAACTTGGGGTGGTCTCAGGGTTGGTCTCCAATTAGAGGGCTAGCTTTGTGTTTAAAAGGTTGAAGATTGTTATTTGGGCTTTTGGAAAAGTGGTCTCGAATTAGAGGGGTTTCAAATTGGGGGGTGCACTGTGCTTTTTAATTTAGCATTTTTATCATTATTTTTATTTTATTTAATTATTTCAATTGTTGATTAATAATTAATTGTCTTTATACATATTGTTATTCTGCTTTTTATATAATGTTAATTTAATTGTGTATTGTATTTTTACATATTTTGTATGTGCCTTTAAAATGTTCTAATTGTTTTGGTTGATTGATCATTATTTTTTGGTTGGTGTTTTATATATTTGTAAACACCAATTAAACTGTTTTTTTACAGCAATTTTAGATAACTAAACACTACTTTTATAGTAGCTATTGGCATATTTTGCAACTTTACCTAAATTATTGGAGTTCCTAGTTTTGCTTCGAAATTTGCATTTATTTGTACATTTGGCTAGACTGTTTTCCTTGCTTCCCTTCCTGTCACTAATCCTGATTTCAGATAAAAATAAAAGTTTAAGTATTTCCAGTAGAGTGTGGTTGAATGGGAAGAGCTTAAAAGAAAAGCTTGACTTGGATTTATATTATTATTAAGCTATGACAAAAAAATACACTACAGTACCTGAAGTTCAAATTCACTGCATGGCTGACTTCATGTCACGCTTGATTGCTCTCACAAAGAAACTAGCCTATAAGGTCACATGACTAACGATAATCTCTGGAAAAAACCCACTTCTATTTTCGGAGAGTCTGCACATCTACAGTTTAACAGAGAATTAAAGGTAAATATTTTATTAATTTATGTTGTTTGATTGAATAAATTCAATAAATAACTTAATGATTCAGAGAAATTTGAAAATACTGCCAATCATATATAATTGTATCTGAGAGAAAATCCCTGCATATGAAAATATTCAGATTTGAAATATGTTGCTAGAGCCAACTCCCTGCTAGAGCTATATCATAAAGCCTACTATATTAATTATTCGCCGTGGCTAGAGATACGGTATCGGAACTTTAGATTACTAAAGGTACGGTAAATAACATTATGTCATGATTAGCCAATAGAAATGCCGATACATGCGTGACGTCATTCAGTGCACTGCTGCAGCTGCAAGAGTAGTGAGTGTTGAAATGGTTTTAGCAACGATGGAAGATAAGAAATTTCGTTCGTTCGCGGGTGTTGTTGACAAGCTGTGATTATTATTCTGTAGCCCGAGGCCCTATAGCAAATAAAAAATATGCAAGAATAACAGAAAGGACTTTTAACCCAAACATTGTGATAATCATAAGCCCCAATCGAAGTACATGAAATGGGCCTTTAGCAATCAGAAGTTCCGATATGGTACCATATCTCTAGCCACGGCGTTAATTATTTTGTTTGATATTCATATTAAATATAAGTACATACATGCTATAAAATCAAGTATAAATCAAATACTTAAGTCTAGCCCCTGCAAAATAACTATCTATATAGAAAAAATAAATACAATGCAACATCCAAATGGTTTCACCTACCAAACCTAAATCTACATGAATTATTCTCAGATAAAGTGGACAAATGAATCACAATTTATCATTTACAGATTGCTAGCTGCAGCGAGCTATAAAATATACTTATCAGGCAATTGCTTATTTTACCCTCACCATGCATGAAAGTAGCAGTGGTTGCTATAGGATATACTTCCTGTGGGATAAGCTGCCTGACAGGAGGAGGGGCCTTGAGCTCCTAAACCCAAGAGGAGAGTTTGGGAGGTGTCTTTCCTCTCAAATGAGTTTTTTTTTTAATAGGGACATTCGGATGGTCAGAAATGGCACTTTCAGAATGTGAAAGACAATTGTTGGCTTGGGTAGGCCTTTTCGTGTATTTTTCAGTCTTGTCTGGGGGTGGGGGTGGGGCTTGACCTGTCTGGTGGGAGCTTTAATTCCCCTTACCTCCCCCCGGTGCACCACTGGAGAGGATTTTGTAAAGCAAATAGCATCTAATGACAGATTACTCAAAGGGGTGCAAAAGTTTATATGAAAATTACCATAAATAATAACAATAATATATAGACAGGTCTAAATGATGTCTCTATGCACTCGAAAATAGTTATGTAGAAAACAAAAAAAAAGACTGAATAAAATGCAAAGTAAAAACACAAAAAAAAACACCAAGCTAGCAACCAAACAATATAGTATGGCTATGGGGTTACATTATGCCAACCAAGCAACTGTCTTGCTTCCTCCTAGTTAAGTCCAATAACATGTCGAGAAAAATGAGAGAGTTGGAGGAATAATTCGATCGATTGTAAACTTTTTCTAAGGGAATCAAGTGAGAATCTAATTTCTAGGTAACTATTTTTGTGTAGCCAATATATTCCTTGCATAAGTCCTACTGTTTATTCTACCTCTGCATGCCACTTAAATCTTCACTATGAATACAAAATTATCATTGGCCACTACTCCCTAAAACTGGGCTTACACCGCCCTTGCGACTCGACTCAACTCAATTCAAGTTGCCAATTGCGCTCATGTCGACTCAGTAGAATGAGTTACCAAGAGCGCTTATGTCACCGCCAACTAACGGCAACTACTAAAAACCGGTTACTAGGTAACCACTTTGTCGAGGAAAATCCGCGTTCATACCTGACTGAGAAAGCAGCTCAGCTCAGTTGGCTAATCTGGTGGCAGCCACTGTGTGTGCGCACCGGTAAAATTCCAGTTGCTGCCTCTTCTCGTGTTTCAGCTAGAGGGCTCAAAATGCAAGTTACAATAGCGCACCGTCTTTTGGATGAGACGTTAAAGCCGTTGGTCCCGTTTGCATTTAGGGCCCATGTGCACGTTAAAGAACGCAGTACACTCTTCAGAAAAGAGTAGGGGATTGTCTCCTGTTGTACTGCCCAATCACCACCAGAAGACTTTCGTAGGCTGTCCTTGGTGTTTACACCCAATAAATCTAATCCAATCCATTCCAAAGATAAACATGAATACACACTGCTGGCCACATCAAATTAACAAGGAAACTACGTACGATTCAAAGAATAATTCAAATTAAAACCCTTATAAAATTGTTATTAATGTAAAGAGTAGACCTATGTTCCCGTTTACTTAATTTAGAAGTCATAAATATTAGTTTTACAAATTGGATTATTAAATTACAAATTAAATACTGTATATGAACTAATCGTGTAAATATTATGTTAGTATTATATCAGATTAATTTTTGTATATTTATTTAATGCACAAGAAGGCACATAAAAGAAGCAGCTTAGAATTATACCTCCATTCACTTTATCTTATTCTCAAATCGAGTTTTCTTAGAATAAACATTCAAAATTAAAATATTTTTTTAGTTGTTTAGAAGTTAAAAACTGGCCTATCATCAGACTCACTTTTTATTAGAATATCATTGAAACTATAATGAAATGTGTACATTAGATGAACAGCTCAGAGAGCAGATTAGCTCAGTCGGCTAATCTGGTGGCAGCCACTGCATGTGCACTCAACTGTGAAGATTTCTAGGTCCCTGGTTCAATTCCCATCGCTGCCTCTCCTTGTGTTTCAGCTGGAGGGCTGAAATG